GTTTCAACAAAAACTGAACCAACCTGATATTATCATTGTTTTTTGGTTATTTTATGATTGATTATATATATTTTCAACTTTCGTTAATATCATCCATCCTAATCTTATATTACAAATTAAAAATGGGGATAAAGATGAGGAGCCCTTCACACGTTTGTGGGCAAGCCACACGTACTAGGATTATTACTTAAAGTGGGCTGATGGGGAATGGTCAAAAATAAGCACAGCCCACACCCATAAAATGCTACTTAAAATTACTTTAAAGGCAAAGGAGGACCTTTTTTAATCACAAGGTACATTAGATATTTGCTGGGAAAAGAGCAAATAAAGAATGGAAAGAAAAAATAAGTCAGATAAAGAATGAGAAGAGAGAAAAGGTAGCGAAAGTAAAAGAAAATAAAAGTAAAAATAACCTGTTTCTAGGAGGAGTTTATGGGAGATTTAAATTATTTGATTTGATCCTTAACAGTTTCTTTATTGACCTCTTATCTTTATTCAACCTTAGAAACTGTTTCGTGTTTAGGTTTAAATCCATTATATCCTTTATTGCCCTATAGAATGATAAAGTTTTAAACTTCCCATAAGTTTTGCTGTTGAAGGAATATAACCAATTTATGGCCTCGAGGACCAGGGTATTATTTGTATGATTTCTCAGAAAATGAGCAAAAAATATCTAAAAGGCACATACTCTAGCAAAATTAAACAAAATTATCAGCTAAAATATTAATGCAGACCCCAACTCACAACAATTCCATGGTCACAAATGACCATAATTACTCTTGACTCCATTTGGACATAATATGCAGTATTACTATCAAATGCATTGACTATGGCAAAATAATTGACAGACGACCTACTACAATGCAAGTATTCTCTTGGTTGTCATACCACCCCCACAAAATAATTAGCAAAATTGATTATAAACTTTCTTAAAGGCTAATATACCATTCACCCTTCAAGTAGATCTCCCTTCTCAATGATAGTTTTAAAAGATGAGATGGCATTTCCTCAATAACTTGGTCTAATAGCCTTCCCTTAGCTTGGGACTATGATTTTTAGCTAAATAAAATATTTAATACTTTGCCCTAACTCACACCAAAACTTAAAAAAAATAATGATATTCAAAATGCAATTTTAATTACTGGTAATACCTTTAAAATTTTGGGGGGAAAGTCAAATTACGTGAATCGTTGATTTATTACAAATCCAATTTAATTTAGTTTATTTTTTAAAATCCATTAGCGAATTCCTTCTTAGTTTTCTTTATGCAAAACACAAACAATGCATTTCAAATGGTATTATGCAAATTGATCAGTGCTTAGAAGTATTTATAAAAATGCAAATTTGTTTGCCTTTTTCTTTGAAAATGTTAATTAGGTCCCATTATAAAGCAGTGTTCAAGACATCAAAAAATTTACTTCTAAAACTTTATTGAAAAAATATTTTTTTTTATAGAAAATAAATATATGGCCAAAACATATTTGTGAAATTTTTAAAACTGTAATTAGATTTCCTTAAAATTTAAAACACTTGTGAACACAACCTATTCTAATTAAATTATATATAATAAATATTGATATAAAAACCTCTGATTCTGCCTCTTTTATAAGCTCTCCAATGTTTATTGTATTGTTAAGTCTTTTAGAAGGTGCATTGATACCAAGTAATAACTTTTTATCAATTTTAATAATGCCACCTTTATCTATATTTAAATAAATTTTAAAAAATCTTATTCAAAGATATATATAATTACAATGCTCTTATAATAGTTAAATTAGGAATGAAAAATTAATTGCTCTCTAAAATTTAAATTATTCTTCATAAATATATTGCATAAATTACTGTTTTCTTGTTTATTTGTGAATTTTGATACCTCTTTATATGCATAATTTTGATGAGGAAAAGATTTTAATGGTACTGATAATCTAGAATCTTTTATATCAACTAAACATTTGGTTTTCAAAACTCCTGAGATATCCTTTAAAAAATATTAATTATTTATAAATATAATTTTAAAAAAATCACTTGAGTAGGGTTTTCACAACATTTCTTTGTATAATTCACATCATGATTCTTAAACTTATGTGTTGTTTTTATATTTGATTTATTAATAAATTTAGAATTACATTGTTTATCTTCAGATACGTTTATTTTTTTTGGGTTAAAATAATAATTTTGACTTTGGCTTGCACCATTATCAATCACGATATTACATGTTGGTTTATAATGGTTATGAGGAATATTATACAATAAATGTTGACTAGTGTAGTTAGTTATATGATTATTATAGGGTTGATAGTATATTTGAGGATGCAACAAATGATTGTTTTCATCATTCGTCATATTTAAATGGCAATAATTATGATTGTAATTCATAACATTCGTATAAACATATGAGATTACTCAAATTTTATTCGTTGTCGTTAGTTACTTTGTGGTTGAAGGCGATTCGATATTTTAGACTTTTTGACAGCCTAAATGACATAATCATATTATTTTCCAGAAGGAAATTTAGTTCATAGATGGCATAAAGATTTGGACATTATATGTACTTTTTTAATTGTAACAAATCTAGCCATTTAAAAATACTTCTTCTCCGGTATGTTTTATTGTTGCTAAAGAAAAATGTTTCTTTCTTTGGTAGAAGTACTAGTGAGTAGAGTTGCCAAAATATACAATTATTTTACTATGTAGTCTAAATATGTTTGAAATTATGCGAATTATTCTGTAACATAGTCAACAATATTCAACCTTTTATACCATAGTTTTATAGGCGTAGCCAGGGGAGGGGCAAGGGGAAATCCCCCCCTACCCTTCAGAGATTTATCACTTTTTGTAAAAATCATTTTGAGCTAATAAAAAATATCCGCCGTTCCCCCCACTCCCTGACCCTCAAAAATGACAATAATTTGAAAGTAGTGTTGTTAAACGGCTCATTTTGAGCCGATTTTTAAAAATGGCTAACTTAATATTTTGGCATGAAAAATTTAGCCTAAGACTTGAGATTTTGCTAATAGATGTCCAAGCCTTTGTTCCTTCTACAAACAAAATCGTCAGGCTTGAGTTATATTATTCTGGATGAAATAGTGAGTTAGCCGTTTTTAAAAATCGGCTCAAAACGAGCCGTTTAACAACACTATTTGAAAGAAAGTATGTAAAAGTTGATATTTTTTTATAAAACTATTCATCATAATTTATACATTTTTGGGAAAATAAATTTATAAATATATAAAATGAACCAAAAATGTTTTTTAATAAATGTAATATAAGCCAAAGATAAGTCTTAAGACAAATGTGAAATGTATTATAATTATTAATAATAGATCCATAAAATTAATAAATAATATAATATAATCAAATATAATTTTTTATAAAGCGATTAATTCTAATTTATTTATCTTAATAAAAGTAAAATATAATTATAAAACTATTGAAACAATTAAATCATAAATTAAATAAAAATATTAAAGCACAATACAAACAGTGCAATAATATATGTCGTAGATTTACAGTATATCTAATTTTATCAATTATCATATGACAATCAAGTAATTTTAACCAATATAGCGAATTATATATTTTAAACTATAAAATATTGATAAGGACATCAGAAAATATCTTTTAAAGATATTATGGGATGAATAATATAAAGATTAAATTTAATATCATTTTTTACTTAAAAAAATAGAAGGCGTTAAATAATTGAATGCAAATTGTTGCTATATTTAATTTATTATAAAGAGCATTGATTAGCAATATTTGTTAAATTATTAACTGTAATATATTCTCTAACTGTCAAATATGTATGTAGAAGTGGAATTTTACCTAGTATTTTGTAACTAATTCTATATAATAAAGGAATATCAACTATATGTATATTTACTTTTTATAAATAAATTTATTATAATTATTTGGAATAAATTATTACCATGCTTTTATATTAATGTATATACAAGTAATGTATTATATTTTATATAAACTAATAAAAATATAAATCATATTTGTTCCAGGCTTATTTTTTTTATTAAAATTTGTAAAAATATTTTATGACTATATATAGACTAAGGTAACCCGGCCTTCGGCCGGGCAAAAGCGGGGGCGATGGCCCGCCTAAAATCGGGTTTGGGGGCGAAGTCCCCAGAAATATTTAAATTTCCACCCTTAGGAAATCCTGGCTACGGTAATCAGGACAATTTGAATTAGTGCTTTATTGATGATAAAACATTCATAATGGGATAAGTACTAACTTATATCAAATATAATTTTATCCTTCTTCTAATTAATTCGTGTAAAATATTCTGTTACAAGTTATAATTTTTTAAAAAATTTAAAAAAGTTTATAACATATTCTTCAAAATGAAAGGACAATAGTAATTAGAGTAAAAAGATATATTTTACCAATTTGACTTATTTTTTCTATTGAATAAATATAAAATGTAATATAAACAACTTTAAAATATTCATTATTACACCTTCTTACAATTTTTCAAAGATTATGTAATGAATTAAAAATGATTAGATTTTTTATATTTTTGGGAATTTTTTTATGATAAATTTCTACGATTCAATTTGCCAAATAAATTTTCTTTACAATAATATCAAATATATGTGCGAAATATATTTACATTTATTCATAAAATATTTCAAATGATTTATGAAATATTATTATAACTATAATAATTTACACAAACATTTAGAATTATTTTGAAAACCCCATGATTTTAAAGATATGATTTGAATTGCTTTTGATTGGTTCTTCCAGGGAATTAATATTATATATAATTAAGATTGATCAATATAACATTTTGAAAATCTACAATAAAGATATTATTATTTGTATAAATAACAAACTACAAACTATATAGCATATATAATAAATTTAAATCACTCTTTTATTAAGCAATAGACTATCAAATGAGCTGATGACGACTAACACCTTAATGATGACGGCCAACTTGGTGATGACCATCGTGACTTGCACCATGAACTCTATCGCCTCGAGTAGAATTATGTCTGCCGCGGCCATGTCTACCACCATGTCGACTATCGTGACTACGATCGTTATCTATCAAAAATAAAAAAAAATGAAATATAAGGATTCAGAAAAAAAGGTGTTTTTCTCATCTTCTGCTTCGTTCCAGTTCTTTTTAAAAATATTTAGTTATTGGTAACTGTTTTGTTGCTGATTAAAGAAGTTGTTTTCATTTTTAAAATTTTTCTTAAACAAATTCAAAAAGTTCCCTATAAACCCTAAGTATTTTTTTGATAACTTCTCAAAGAGTTAGAACACGTTATGGAACTTTGGGAACATTTTCTATATATATTTTTTAAATTAAAAATAAAGCTTCCATGCTTCTCTAAAATATGGCATATATTTCCAAGAACGTCCTGGTGTTTGATTGAACTATTTAATATAATATTCTATACATGATTATATAAGAATATAAGAAAAATAATAAAATGTGAGTAATAGAAATCATATACCTAATCCTCTGTGCCCATGTTCACGCATATGCACGATCGAAATCAGAATCATTAATATGAAACTAAGAAGGAGTAATATTTTCATTTTTTAAAAGTTAATAAAAAATATTTTAATCGTTTTATAGTTATTTTTTTTTTAAAATTAATATATAAATATCGCGATTTGTTAAATTGAAAATACTTGGACTAAATATTTAATTTAGCAAATATCGAATCTAAAAAAATTTTTCTCTTTAGCCAATTTTTTTTATTATATCTATTTCATAAATTATCTTAATTTCTTTTTTATATTCGAGTATTTTTCTAAAAATCTTTTTTACTTTTTTTAGAAAAAGTATAGGAATACGGTAAAAAAATGAAGTAAATATTGATATTAAACATTAATTAATGCCAAATTTATTAAAGATTTTTTTCAACTATTTCATCCAAAATTGGAGGATAAAATGGTCTATTTACAAGTGTGATTTCTTGTTTTGTATTTATCAATTCTGGGGCAAAATATTTCCAGGGAATGGCTAAAGACTATTTTTTATAACGTGATAAAATTTAGGATATTTTTATTTCGTTAAAATATTTTTATATGCAAATTGTCATCCTTAAAAAATAAAATATAATTATAGGCTAGCCGAAGGGCCGCCCAAAAGAGGGTCTGGAGGCAAAGCCCCCAGTAATTTTTTAATTCTCCCCCCCCCCTTTATGAAAACCCTGGCTACGCCTATGCATAGTTTGCATTAAGGTGGTAATTTATCAAGGAATATTTTTATATTCTCACAATAAAAATCTGTCAATATTTTAATTCCATCAAAATTTAAAATAGCTTCGGAAGGATACCCTCAGTAATAAATATTGCAGATTTGTAAGTGCTGTTGATTAACCAATAACCATCATTCATTTGAATTATAGAAGTATCTATGAGGTGGATAAAATTTATTTAGTAATATTTTTTGACTTACCCTCTATTCATATTGGAACGGTGGGCTTGGCTTGCTGTCAGTCGATATAGATAAATATTAATTTCATAGAGCTAAGCTTTTGATTTAACATTGACAATTAGTACTAATTTCCTTAAGTTACAAACTCATGGTCTCAATCATATCGATGTCTTTGCAAAGAAGAGTTTTAAATGATTTAATGGGAAATTTCAAAATGGGACTTTAATATAACTCCAAGCAAAATTCGAAATGTTTATTTCTGATGTGAATATGATAAGTAAATTTAAATTGGAATATATATGTAATAGTAGAAATAAGTATTATAAAATATAAATTAATGATCATAAAATAGTAATTTTTTTTGGAAAATATTTTAACCGGAATCTAACTTTTATTTTTAGTTACGCATTGGTCTATATTTCATTTTTAGCAAAAAATTATCAATAAAGACATTAGTGATCTGCATCAATTTCCTAGGCCCGTCTCATAATGTTTCTTAAATATTTGTCATGTTCGGCTAGATCCCAAACGAAATTTTATTTCTCCTAAAAAGCCCCACCTTAAATAAAAAGAAAATTATTTGGGCGCTCGGCCTGACCCGAATTTATCTAATTATAGATTAATTTACTTTTTATTTTATTGTAAAAATAATATTCTACAAATAAAAAATATTAGCATCTTGTTTCTTTCAATAATTTTAAAATATATTATTTGACAAAATATAATATAATATTTTAAAATTTAAGCCCAACTAGGTCCAACCCTAAGTTTTTTAAAAAATTGTAAGCCTGGCCCAACCCAAACCGAAGTTATTTTTTAAAAATAGACCAGGGCCGGCGTGCCTGGCCGTGATTTGCAGATCTCTAATGAACATAATTGAACTGCAATTGATGGATATTCAGAATATATATAAACTAGAATGAACGTTTAAAAAAAATAATAATTAATTATTAATTCACATTTTTCTCA